AACTATAATAAACTGTTTTTCCTAAGCTTATATGTTGAGTTTTGAAGGAATGAAAATTCAAATATTAAGAAAACATGAAAAACAGTGTATTTTTACTATAACTCAGTCAAATCTTGCTCAAATTTAATAATTAAAGTGTCTATTTGAAGCATATTTAAAAAACATGAATTTGCATTAAATAATCACTGAATTCTGTACAGAATTGAGTGATAAATAGCTATTTTTTTGTTTTGTTTACTTTTGTGACAAAAAAAATAAATTATCAAGTATAACAATACTTATAAAAAAGGCAGTAATACTAGAATAGGAGTTATAAAAGCTTTTCCTTTACTATATCTTTCTTTTCCTGAAAACTAAAGACTTTCTAATCTACTACTATCTAATTCTGAATCTGATAGTATAAGTAGTTTGTAGGATAACTTCTTTGTTTTGGTTTTCTTTATACTTCTAATTTGAGAGTATTCTTTTACATTTTTCTCTCTGTTTTAGTTCCTTTTCTTTTTCCAACTTTTACCTAGTAGTTTGATCTTTCCTATACTACTTCTGACTTCTCCTGTTTAGTAATTAAAAAAAGGTTTTACTTTGTTTAAATAGTCAGATTCTAATAAACACTTATTATTATAAGTGTTCATTATTACAAATTTGAACCATCCATTACTAATTCTAGTATTTAACTATACTTAAGTATTATACTTCTATCCTCCTTTATTAATTGTACTATTAGTATTTCTAACAATTACCCTAGGTTTGTTATTCTTTATAAGTTTTAACTTAAGGGTTTTAACTATTTTTAGTAATAAAGTACTTAATCCTGTACCTGAGTTAAACATAGTCTTAATTGTTACTTACTGTCCTCTATATAATATAATTGCTTTACAGGTAGGATAGAGTACTACTTGTACTATCTAGTAGATTTTTGTTAGTTACTTTTCTTATAGAGTTTCTTTTACCTTTTTCTCTACACTTGAGTTTAAAGACTCTACTACCTTTAAACTCTGGATCAAAAATCCTCTTTACTTAATCCTTCTGTTTCCTCCTCTTTATTAATGTAAGCTTCTTGTTCTTCAGGAATTACTGTATTCCTTTTTGTGAACCTCTTGTTAGATTTATACTTTAGCCTTTTACTTTAAGGATTTCTTTTAGTACAATTCCTAGCCATATGTCCTTTCTGTCTACATTTGAAGCATACTATTTCCCTACCTTTTGTTATCCTGTCAATTTCTATTAGTACTCTATAATAATTACTAGAAGGTTTGTATTCTTGTCTAAATGTTTTTGTGTGTACTATTCCTCTCTCTAAACTAAGAGCTGTATCTGTCTATTCCTTGAATGTTTATTCTATATAACTAGGGATAGTAACCAACTGTTATAATTTACTAGGGTTTAATCCATTCTTATATAAATGAATTGTGACAGGATTGTTTCCAAGTACTCCTAGTTTATACTCTTTAGGTAGGTAGACTAATATTCTCTTAAATGTTTTATTGTATTCTATAATTGTTAGTTTTTCTTGTCTCAAATTGTGTATTTAAGTTTGAGCTGTCTTTATAGAATCATAGTATTTTCTACTTGCTTCTCTTAGATCAGTTAAAAATGTATTATAGTCTTTCCAGATTTCTGAAACTAAGCTTTTTCCTTCTGTTACAAATGATATAGCTTTTCTATTTATATAACTTACTATTTTCCCTCTTAAGTATAGAATTACTGTTTCTCCTTTATCCAAATTATTTGTAATGTTATAATGTCTAAAGTGTATTACCAGATTTGTTTTAAACACTTTTAGATCTTCCCCTTTCTGTCCTAAAACTTTAGTAGTTTTAGATTGATTTTTCTTGTTCCCTCCATATTACTCTCTTTCTAGTTACTAGATTCTGAATTTAGTGTATAAGAGTCTAATAAACTTGACTCTAAACTAGTACTACTTTAATAAGTCTGATACAACTAACTATAATAATTTAATGTTAGTATTCCTTTTACTATAAAAGTATTTAGTAATATAAACTGTTCAATTTCTTCAACTGTCTAGCCTTCCTGAGTAATAACTTCTGACTAACCTTAGAGGCTTCTAAAGGATCCTAGTAAACTATCTGGATGTTGTGTTTCAATTCTACTATAGTTTTAAAATGTTTGGATTCCTCCCTGTATTGTGTTAACAAGCTCTTCTTCTTTAGCTAAAGAACCTAATAGTTTACTTTCTTGATTTTCTTAGGCTGTGTCTTCCTAAGTGAAATGTTCTTGTCTCTAAAGGTATTAAGTATTAGAAGTACTTCCTTCTCTCCTGTTACTTTATTGTTCCTCTCTACTAATATTTTATAATATAGTAGTTAGGTTGAATTGTGACTGTACCAACCTGTTTAGGAATACTTGTACTATTCCTGATTCAACTTATACTTCTTGTACTCTGTTAGTAAGGTCTTGTATTTTGTCTAAGATTTCCTATAGCTTTGTGTGAATATTAAAAATATTCAAACTCTGTGTATTCAGATCTGATTGTATCCTTTCTAGCTTTTCTCCTTATTGTTCTGATTGTATAAGACTATACAAGTATGTGATTTCCCTTTGTATAGTTTTATAGTGTAAGTCTTAACTTTGAATAAACTTAATTATTCTGTTAAGACCTAAAAATTGTTGTATTCAAGTCTTTGTCCTTATAACTTAAAGACTATAATAGGTCCCTAATTTGTTTGAATAAGAGTAACTAGTGTGTAAACTTGTTCTTTGAGCTAGTCTTATACTATTCCCTAATTGACTCTTTC